CTGGAAGTTCTTTATAAAAGCTAACGTTAGCCTACTGCAGCTAGCTTGTTGTAGTTGTGGTAGCTACCTGGGTTATGAGCCACTTCAGTATCTTTGATGCACTATTGCTGTGTGACTTATTACTATTACTGACGGCTACTCACCACCAAGCTAACACTGTTAGCAGGCGTTAGCTGAGGCTGGTTCATAGACTGTTAGATTTGATAGTTAGCATTGACAACCTGCTAGCTGCATGTGCAGTTCTAAAAGCAATACCAACTAGATTTTTAAATCTTAATATGTTAAGTAATCCAAAGTATTCAGAATACTTTACTCACAGTGGGTAACTTAACAGAATATGACCAAACTACATGTTGGGGCATGTAATCTGTAATCCGTAGTGGAATACATTTTAACAACACTGCCTCCAGAAACCTGCAGCAATCACACGTTTGTCACAACACACTTGTTGGAAATGTTGAGGAAGCAACTTTAACTCCATCTACTGCACAGGCCTGCTCTCTACCCATGTGACTGACCTCCAGGAACCGCGAGATGTCCCTCTTGTCGTTAACGGCCATGGCGACCACGTTCTCAAACATCCAGAAAAATGGGCGGTTCTCGCCGTCCTTGGGCTTGGCTTCGCTCAGAAGTCGATAAAACTCGAAGAACAACCTGCCCGTGCCTTCTGGAGAGACAAAAACCATCAACAGTCAAGAACGCTAAAATCTAACTAGGAATACGCAGGCAGAGAACATCAGAAACAACCTTTAAAGAGTTAAACTATCACGCTGTGTGGCTTTAGTGCCTTTAAAAGAGAAGAAAATTACCAAAACACACGTTAAATATACCCAGGATGCACTCAGGGACTCACCGTACAGGCCCTTCCTGGCAGGATTGACGATGGAGAGGTCGTTGCAGGGACTTCCTCCGATCACCAGGTCAAACGGACCCCACTCCTGAATCTGAGCGAGATGACAAAATCAGACAGAACACGGTTCCTGTTTTCAATACGAGAGGATGAGTTTAATGTTTCGGCCAATAAAAGAGTTGAAGTTTAAAACTAATCTGAATAAAAAGAGTAAAACAGCTGATTAGGTAAACGTGAAGCAGCAGAGTGTACGTTTGTCTGATTCGAAGGGTTGTGTTTCTCCCTGTGTTCATATGTGATGTTTACAATGATTATTAGAAAGAAAAGACTTTGCAAAGCACCAGCTGATGCCAACAGTCCAGTGCCGCCCAATATTCAGCTAAACGTTCATCATTAAAGGAGGAAATCATAAATCATTCCTGTTCTGAGGCTTGAACCTTTATCCTCAACACGAACGCTGTTTAAACCGTCCTCTGAACACAACCGAGGAATAAATGTGAAGAAGGGAACGTGATGTGGCGTGCCTCTTATGTACTTCCTGTTTTATTTTGGTAGTCCTGTGTTGCTTTGTCTTCAGTCTGACCCTCTCCCCTGTGATGATGTGCAGCTGTGTCACAATTCAGGGTCTGCATCCTTCAAGGCCGCATTTGAAGGCCGATTACGTCACAGCGATGCGACGAAGGCTGCTCCAAATGCGGCCTTCAATGGGTCGGTGTAGCCTTCATGACCCAACATATCCCAGGATTCATAGCGCGGCGGTGGGTGTGGATAATTTTTTCAGAAAAAAGCGGCGGATGGCTGAACTGTCAAAAGTAAGTTCTGAATATTATGTCACTTATTTATGTGCGAATGTTTAATAATGAAGAACATTAAAACATTACTGTTGGCCACATGTCGGCAAAGTTGTGTGACATTAG